AGGGCTTCTAGTCGGGTGGAGGCAGCTCTAGTCCATAGGGCTTCTAGTCAGGTGGATGTGGCTCTAGTCCTGAGGGCTTCTAGTCGCGTGGATGTGGCTCTAGTCCTGAGGGCTTCTAGTCGGGTGGATGTGGTTCTAGTCCGTAGGGCTTCTAGTCGGGTGGATGTGGCTCTAGTCCTGAGGGCTTCTAGTCGGGTGGATGTGGCTCTAGTCCTGAGGGCTTCTAGTCGGGTGGATGTGGCTCTAGTCCTGAGGGCTTCTAGTCGGGTGGATGTGGCTCTAGTCCTGAGGGCTTCTAGTCGGGTGGATGTGGCTCTAGTCCTGAGGGCTTCTAGTCGGGTGGATGTGGCTCTAGTCCTGAGGGCTTCTAGTCGGGTGGATGTGGCTCTAGTCCTGAGGGCTTCTAGTCGGGTGGATGTGGCTCTAGTCCTGAGGGCTTCTAGTCGGGTGGATGTGGCTCTAGTCCTGAGGGCTTCTAGTCGGGTGGATGTGGCTCTAGTCCTGAGGGCTTCTAGTCGGGTGGAGGCGGCTCTAGTCCTGAGGGCTTCTAGTCGGGTGGATGTGGCTCTAGTCCGTAGGGCTTCTAGTCGGGTGGATGTGGATCTAGTCCTGAGGGCTTCTAGTCGGGTGGATGTGGCTCTAGTCCGTAGTGCTTCTAGTCGGGTGGATGTGGCTCTAGTCCTGAGGGCTTCTAGTCGGGTGGATGTGGCTCTAGTCCTGAGGGCTTCTAGTCGGGTGGATGTGGCTCTAGTCCGTAGGGCTTCTAGTCGGGTGGATGTGGATCTAGTCCTGAGGGCTTCTAGACGGGTGGATGTGGCTCTAGTCCTGAGGGCTTCTAGTCGGGTGGATGTGGCTCTAGTCCTGAGGGCTTCTAGTCGCGTGGATGTGGCTCTAGTCCTGAGGGCTTCTAGTCGGGTGGGTGTGGCTCTAGTCCGTAGGGCTTCTAGTCGGTGGATGTGGCTCTAGTCCTGAGGGCTTCTAGTCGGGTGGATGTGGCTCTAGTCCTGAGGGCTTCTAGTCGGGTGGATGTGGCTCTAGTCCTGAGGGCTTCTAGTCGGGTGGGTGTGGCTCTAGTCCTGAGGGCTTCTAGTCGGGTGGATGTGGCTCTAGTCCTGAGGGCTTCTAGTCGGGTGGATGTGGCTCTAGTCCTGAGGGCTTCTAGTCGGGTGGATGTGGCTCTAGTCCTGAGGGCTTCTAGTCGGGTGGATGTGGCTCTAGTCCTGAGGGCTTCTAGTCGGGTGGATGTGGCTCTAGTCCTGAGGGCTTCTAGTCAGGTGGATGTGGCTCTAGTCCTGAGGGCTTCTAGTCGGGTGGAGGCGGCTCTAGTCCTGAGGGCTTCTAGTCGGGTGGATGTGGCTCTAGTCCGTAGGGCTTCTAGTCGGGTGGATGTGGATCTAGTCCTGAGGGCTTCTAGTCGGGTGGATGTGGCTCTAGTCCGTAGTGCTTCTAGTCGGGTGGATGTGGCTCTAGTCCGTAGTGCTTCTAGTCGGGTGGATGTGGCTCTAGTCCTGAGGGCTTCTAGTCGGGTGGATGTGGCTCTAGTCCTGAGGGCTTCTAGTCGGGTGGATGTGGCTCTAGTCCGTAGGGCTTCTAGTCGGGTGGATGTGGATCTAGTCCTGAGGGCTTCTAGTCGGGTGGATGTGGCTCTAGTCCTGAGGGCTTCTAGTCGGGTGGATGTGGCTCTAGTCCTGAGGGCTTCTAGTCGGGTGGAGGCAGCTCTAGTCCATAGGGCTTCTAGTCAGGTGGATGTGGCTCTAGTCCTGAGGGCTTCTACTCGCGTGGATGTGGCTCTAGTCCTGAGGGCTTCTAGTCGGGTGGATGTGGTTCTAGTCCATAGGGCTTCTAGTCGGGTGGATGTGGCTCTAGTCCTGAGGGCTTCTAGTCGGGTGGATGTGGCTCTAGTCCTGAGGGCTTCTAGTCGGGTGGATGTGGCTCTAGTCCTGAGGGCTTCTAGTCGGGTGGATGTGGCTCTAGTCCTGAGGGCTTCTAGTCGGGTGGATGTGGCTCTAGTCCTGAGGGCTTCTAGTCGGGTGGATGTGGCTCTAGTCCTGAGGGCTTCTAGTCGGGTGGATGTGGCTCTAGTCCTGAGGGCTTCTAGTCGGGTGGATGTGGCTCTAGTCCTGAGGGCTTCTAGTCGGGTGGATGTGGCTCTAGTCCTGAGGGCTTCTAGTCGGGTGGATGTGGCTCTAGTCCTGAGGGCTTCTAGTCGGGTGGATGTGGCTCTAGTCCTGAGGGCTTCTAGTCGGGTGGATGTGGCTCTAGTCCTGAGGGCTTCTAGTCGGGTGGATGTGGCTCTAGTCCTGAGGGCTTCTAGTCGGGTGGATGTGGCTCTAGTCCTGAGGGCTTCTAGTCGGGTCGATGTGGATCTAGTCCTGAGGGCTTCTAGTCGGGTGGATGTGGCTCTAGTCCTGAGGGCTTCTAGTCGGGTGGATGTGGCTCTAGTCCTGAGGGCTTCTAGTCAGGTAGATGTGGCTCTAGTCCTGAGGGCTTCTAGTCGGGTGGATGTGGCTCTAGTCCTGAGGGGTTCTAGTCAGGTAGATGTGGATCTAGTCCTGAGGGGTTCGAGTCGTCAGGATGACTAGAAAAGCAGGTCACTCATTACAGCTATTTAACATGTTGAGTCAAACTTCCAATATTATGAATATTAGAATGTTTAACATTTGTCCACCTCCCACTTTTTGCTGATTGTTTTATAGTTTGTGTGAAATTGTATTTTTTTCCATCCACCATGGAGGGCTTCTAGTTTTCATTGATTAGTTAATTTCACTCATGTTTCCAGTTTGAAACTCTTTGTACTCTGTATAAGCTACTGGAACCAGAATTTCCCAGAAGGAGAATAAAGTTAAGTCTAAGTCTAATTATATTTTAGCCTGACTCCACTGGCTGCCTCTACATTTTAGAATTCATATTAAAATTCTTTTATTTGCTTTTAAATCCCTGAATGCTCTCACCCCACCATACCTCTGAGCTCCTACATCCTTCTAGACCTACCGGCTCTCTCAGGTCAGCAGATCAGCTCAAACTCAGCAGAAGCTCAGAGAATGTTATTTTTACCCATGTTTTAGCTGTTTTGTTTTTTTATCTGTGCTGTTTTATGTTTGATTTATTCAGTTTTTTTCTGCACAGCACATTGGTCAACTGTGGTTGTTTTTAAGTGCTTAATATATTACATTGGAATTGGAAATATTAACAACCAGTTCCTTTGTGATCCACAGTGGGGACCATCCAGACGTCCATTACCCACTCATAGAACAAATGGCGTGTTGCTGTCCATCTTTGAAGGACACATATATGTTTAAATCATTCCTTTGTAAACTTAAATTATCCAGCTATGGTGATCATGAAGGGGAACTGCAACGCTTTGGTCTGACCACCTTGTTTTCTGGTTGATTTCTGCTGTTAAAAAGTCATAAAACATCACTTTTGTTTTAGCGTTTCTGCAGCAGATACTGTGATGTTGCCATTAAAAATAAAAATAAATCGAACACTGAAAACTGAACGGATAAAAAAAATGACCCTAAACAAAACATAAAAACATCAACAGAGACAAAAAAATCAACTTTCTGATCTGATGATCTGATGAAGAACACGTTGCATAAGATTTAGCTCTGAACAGCTGGATTTACTTCTAAACCAAAATGATTTAATGCAACAAAACTGCTCTGTATAAAACCCCAATAAGGACAACGAGGGAGAAATAAAATCCTTCTTACTCAGCAGCAGCACGAGTAAGACATATCTCACCCTCACTCTGGTAGCTATTAATGTTCACTTTGACCTTTAATAAACTAAAATAAATATTTAATATCAGTTGTTATGTATGAAAAAGATAATTTCCTTCCCGCTGCACCAATCCATCCCATGCATCTTTTTCCTCACAGATATTATTCTACTGTTGTTATTCCTGATGTTACCAATTATACAATACATAATAATAAATACACAAGAAGTCTCTACCAATGCTTCCACTGAGGCCACAATGACTGCAGAGGAAGCTCAATATAGAAGTAAACGCTGCTTCTGTCTGTTTAGAGTCTAATGTGTTATTTATGTTTGCTCCTCCCATAATTTTGCTTTGTTTGCTCATAAGCACATGATCTGCACATTCAAAATATTTTGAGCCAAAACTTTTTTATTTTAGACACACATCAATGTGCAGCTAGTTTGTAGATCAGTTTTTTGCATGCTAAAAAGTTTAAATGTTTTTAAATCTAAGGAAATTTTATGATAATCAGGCCCTTTGATTCTTCATTAGCAAATATTTAACTCTTTATTTTTAAAACAAAAAATTTTTTTTTTAAAGGAACGGCAAAGAGAAAACATCCAGGGTCGGCCCCTGCAGGGTTCGACTCTTCAGTCCGTGTTTAGTTTGGTTTTTTTGATGACGTGATGCAGAAATCAAAGCCAATCAATAAAAGTCATCTCTTCAGATGAACCGGAGCCATCAGGGGAAGGCACCACTACTTTTACTGAGCCCAGGGGAAAACTGCCCCCACTCCTCCCCCTCCAGGCCCCCTCCCCCTCCACCCCCTTCAATCCCTCCATCTCTTTGTTTGATGCCTCTCAGCAGCTCGGCTCTGGCAAAAAAAACAAAGGGATCAGGTGTTTTTTGAGAATCCCTGAAATGGTGGCGGCGGGGGTCAGAAGTTTCTCCGCTCTGCTGATATCATCATGAGCAGCTGAAGGACGTCCTTTTCAGTTTCAGCCTTTTTTACTGAGTCTGTGAAGGAAAGCAGGAAAACAGCTGAGCTGAACTAAACTGAGCCGAGGCCGAGGCGAGTGATGTACAGGGACGGATTTGATGTGCTGCTGGATGCATGTTTCTCCTCGTCATCCTGCCCCAAACCCCCCACCCTGCAAAATATCCACGCACCCCCACTCAGACCCCCTCCCATATAACTTTCCCCGCTGAGTTAGGGATCGGGAAATGCCCAGGAAGCAGAACAAGCTCAGGAAAAGAGGGCGTTGAGGGGTGTGGTGGGGGGGGGGGTGTCACTCACCATGATTGGTTTGCGGCTCTGCAGTCTCTGGGAGGCCTGACAGCGGCTGCTACTCCTCTCGCCTCGTGTCCACCGCTGGTTCACCAGCTCACCCCGAAACTCATTTTCTAAAAGAGGGAAGGGGGGGGGGGGGCAGAAATGAAAAAATCTGTGAAATCAGCATCAGCACCAGTGGATGGGCTGAGGGGAGGGGGGAGGTTACACCACTCCAGCAGTTTATTAGGTGAAAGAAGAGGAGGTCTCCCCCTCACTCACACAGACCCCCCACCCCCCAGCAGAGCCCCGCCACTCAACCAAAGCCCCCACCAATTCGCTCCGACAATCAATCAAATCTGTTCATTTTTGATCCAGCTTTCTGAGGCTCATGTCTGATTAGAGGTGGAATGGGGGGGGGCGTCCTATACAAATCAAACCTCCGCCCGTCCGTTTTCTCCATCTAGGTAACTGCAGCGTCTGATGGCGTCTTTCTGATGGCGTCTTTCTGATGGCGTCTTTCTGATGGCGTCTCCCAGGAGAAACCAACTCCTCTCATCCCTCTGAGGTCCTAAAGACTCCGCAGACGAAGGTGACAAATCTAACAGCTAAGCTGCGTCTTTAAGTTCAGCCAGAGTGCAGTTCGTTACACGATGAACGCCCAAGGCTGAACTTCTCATCTAATGCATCCCCCCCCCCCCCCCCCCCCCCCCCCCCCCCCCCCCCCCCCCCCGTCTCTGTATCACTGTTTTCAGGCCCAGCTGGTGCCTTGAAATCCGACTCCTTTTGGGACAAGGATCCATCTCCTGCTTTAGCGCTCATGTTTCTGGTGTTGGTGCACCTCTGCAGGCAGGTGTTGGTTATTGTGAAGAAGGAAGTAACCTTGAGTTTCCAGTGACTCCTCAAAGCTAAACAAAACTGTTTTTTATTTTTGTCTGTCTGCAAGAACATCTGAGGGGAAACAAAACTCCAAAGGAGCAAGGTTTGGGTCACTCCATTGATCAGTTAATTAAAGCGACTCGGTATTTATCTTTACGGCGCATCGTTCTGGTTGTGGAAATTGTGGCACATTCCGACTCTAAAATGAAAGCAGTGATTTGCTCTCTGAGCTGCTTTGCATAAAAGAAGGAAGGTGCACATCCCTGACCTCTCTCCTCCACGTTGTCTTTTTTCTCTTTTATCATCTCCGGTCTGTCCTGTATGTGAACCCAAACTGAAGGTGGGGATGTGATTCTGTTGGTTCCCTCCTCTCTGCTTCACCTCACCGAAGCTCAGCCAGCACTCCCCAGAAAACGCTTGTTTATCAACTTTCATCTGCCAGCAGAAAAAAGTGATTACAGCAGCAATACTGTTGGTCTGCATCTCTATCTCAGCTATCTCCGTCTCTGCAGACACACAAAGCACTTTATTACTGAGGGGGGTGAGCAACCGTGTGTTAGATTGAGAAGTGAGAGGGGATTTTCAGGACAGGTCTCCTCCAGCAGCCTGATGGAGCTCAGCTTTCAAACGCAGGCCGACGAACTCTCAAACATCCAAGAAAAAGACCATCAAAAGTGATCAAAGTGACCCCTCCTTTGTTTTTCTCTCTGCTTTTATTCCATCCCCGTGCAAACAGGGAGACTAATCAGAGCTCCTGCTTCCCGTTTGATCACATGCTGCTCATCCTCACCTAAAACACACAAAGCTCATTATATTGCAGAGAAAATTGGAGAAGCACGAGACAATTAGCCATTCACTGGGGAGGCCTTGCTCCGGAGGAGGGAACAGTTGGGATACGAATACAAAATGAGGGAGAATTCACTCCCGAATGTTTTTAATCTAATTCCTTTTTCTGAAATAACAAAATGTATAAAAACCATAAATTTAGATTTTATTCCTGATCCAAAGAGGAAAAAAACAACAACTCTGGGGTCAAGTAATACTATTAGAGGAGTGGAGCTTACTCTGCTGGGACAATGGAGCCAAGAGGCCTAAATCCAGAGTTAGATTAAAGTCCAGGGTGTTCAGTCAGTAACAGTATTACTGCAGGTCCAGATGTACGGCCCGGCTTCTGGGCGGAGAGCAGGATTTACAGACAACTTAGTGTGATTACAGTGATGCCCACAGCAGGGATGGAGGGGGCAAAAGTTGGGCGGCGGCATGGCCTCATCTTCATCCAAAAGGTTGAAAACAAAAGAGACGCTCAGCAGCAACGAGTCAGAGAGGAGATGAAGGAGAAGGACGAGTCACTGGAGTTTCAGATGACATCATCCTAACCTCAGCATCAGAACACAAACTATAGGGACGAGCTGCATAACTCCAAACATTTCTATACGCCTCATACGACCTTTTCTATCTTTTTTTTTTTAATAATTTGTCTTTCAGAACCGCAGCATACATTTCATTCCCCTCATTCTTCAGACATGGATGCCTTCTCTGCATTGATGGTACGACCCTGACCTCTGCTTGTGTTGCTTAGATTCCTGATACTGGCTCTGGGAGGGAGGGAGCAGTTTGGCCCCAGCTGCTCTTCCAACATGTTTACGGCCCTCCCTCCTCCAGCACCTGCTGTCCTCACCATCAGGCCTCCTCCAATACGAGACGTCTGTCCTCTCATCCAGAATTAAACGTCAAAAAGATGCAGAGAGGCAACTTCTCTTCTCTGCAGTTATGGCCCTTTTCTTGTAGCATGAACACCAATAACCTAATTCTGTAATCCCCTGAAACTGGGCTGCTGATAATAAACAATCTTCAATAACATTTTTTTATTTTCTTTAAGAAAATAAAAAAGGTCCAATAAAGACAATGAACCATTTAAGCAACTTAAAGTTAACATCTTTTTAATCAAACTCAATGAAAAGGTTTCGATGTTGGAACAGAAATGTAAGTTTGAAGCGGCTTTGAATTGTTTTCAAAAGCTAAAATCAAACATTTTAAAGCTTCTGGTAGAAACCAGTAAAAGTGTTAGCTAAAAACTATTTATTTTCACTGGTCTGCGTCTTCTTCTCTGCTGCTGGGATTAATGGTTATCTGGCCTGGTCAGACTGGTTTCTGACGTCATTCCCAGTTTATTTCTGTTAACATGTGAAGTAATGAAAAACCTAATCCTACTCATTTCTTTAAAACACCAGAAGCAAAATCAACTAATTAGAGCGAATGAGTTGTTAAAATCTAATTAAGTGAACTGAGCGCATAGTTCAATATAACAACATTTTCCAGTATTTCACAGTTGAAACAGTTTCTGCTCCGCAGGATGAAAACAAAGGTTCAAACTCCAAAGGCATAGAGCTGTTTATGTGGAAGCTGCTGGAAATCTGCCTAAAATGTCACCGTGAACAGCAGAAACGTCACAGCAACAAAATAAATAAAAAACTACTTCTGCATCTTTTTAAAAAACGGGTTTTCTAAGAAACGCAGCTGAAGTTTTCCTGATGGGATGGACGGGAAAGTTACGGTGACATAACGCTCCGCGCATCCTCCTCATCCTCATCCTTCATCTCCTTCCTCCATCTTAGGACGCAGGTGCTTTGACAAACCGCGAGGCGCACGCGGAGCACATTAAGCGGTCATGTAGGCTAAGCAAAGCAAGAAGGAGGGAGGAGGAGAAGAAAGGAACAGAAATAAAAGCAAATAAAAGATCTGGGTCCTCATAAAGCCGCTGAATCGCTCCGAGAAACGCGCTGAAAAGAAGCTTGGCTTATTTCTGAGGACTTTTGATTTTCTCTGCGCACTATGACAGGCGGCTGATTTTAAAGGGAGCATCTGTTTTTTTTTTTTTTTTTTGCTGCAGAGGATCAAATGGCAGACCCCTCCCTCCCTCCATCCATCCTTCCATCCATCCATGCATCTTTGCGCTCAGCATCCCAGCAGCTCCAGCAAACAGGCACGTCTCTCCAAGCAGCGGCCGGAGGAGGAGAGCGGCGCTGATCTACATCCGGAAGGTGAAACTAGAGGACGGGACGCGCTTCAGCTGCGAGCCGCTCCGATAAGTTCGCGTTGAGTGGAAGGAAAATAAGGCCGGTTTTCACACACAGAGAGGATGCTTCAGCTGATAAACTGCGTGGAATAAACACGCAGCTTCACTCTGCATCTGGAAAAGCAGCGCCATGCTTCCCCTCATCATTAATTACCTGAGGCTTAAATCGTTTCCCAATTAAACGGAGCAACAGAAACGCACATAAAAAAGGTTCAAGTTTGATTTTAAGTTCTAATCCTCAACCAAAAATGTAAAAAAATAAATAAATAAATAAATAAATAAATTAATTAATTAAAAATCAAAAAATCATCCATCACAAAAAGCAAAGTTATCCAAAAACAGCCTTCCGCCTCTAATCATCAAACACACATTTATTTCTGGTTACCTGCATCCGATTAGATCCGCAGCTTTTAGCTCCTCTGAGAGTTACTGCGCGGCTCAAGTTGTTCGCTTTAAAACAAATCCCAAGTAAAGATTTAAAAAGCATCTATCCCGTTTCCAGAGCGGTGAGGAATCAGCGGGCGGAAGGTCGCAGCGGCCTCTCCTTACGCAGCGCAGCGGCGCGTGGCTCCGCATCCACGCGTTAAGATGTTTGTAAGCAAAAACATGGCTTCATTTGCCTTTGTCAGCGAGGAGGAAGAAAAAAAAAAAAAAACGTAATATTGACTTACCTTTCCCTCATGAGCCATTGTACCACCCCCCACCTCCCTCCATCCCGGCCCCTCTCCTCCCCTCTAAACCCCCCTCCTACTCCTCCCCCGCCCTTTGCCATGACATCACGGAAGCTGTAGTAAAACCTCCAGCATCATATGGGCAGGGCTTAGGACCCCCCCCACTCCCCCCCCCACCCCTTTACTATACACATTCACCCCCCCCCCCCCTCCATAGACTTTCTCTATCACTCTCTCTCTGACTTCAAACCAGATTTCCACCCCACATCATTTCCAAGATATCACCCCACCCCCCGCCCCCACCTGCTTCTAACCATTTCAAACATCCTCCTGAAAAGCCGTGATTCACATCCTGCAGATGAAGAGCCAGACTCAGGTACAAACCAATTTTATAATCTTTACTAAATGAACTAAAGTTATTTCAAGAGCAGATAAAAATGAGCTTTAGCTTCGCTTTATTTCACATATTTTCTTTTTCCTGTATAAAGAGCAACTAAAAAGTTGTTGGAACCAAACCTTTGTAAATTTGCTTATATTAAATGTTTTACTTAAAACCATTAGAAACGTCTGCAAGATAAGTAAATTAGCAGAAAATATAACAGTAAGGAAATAAGCTAACATGTTCCCTTCGTTCACAGTAGCCATCTCAGATTTCATTATTGGCTCTGCTACACACGACTAAATGAAGGTAGACACAAAATTCTATTTTTTGCTTCATTACAGAAAATGTATTCACCATAAGACTTAAATTAGCCCTTAAGTTTATCTTGGTAGATGGATTTTAGGTACTTAAAACAGTTGGTGTAAACATCTGAGCCTTATTGTTCTATAAAAGGTAAAACAAACAACAGAAATGTAAAATACTTTCTGAAAGATTGTTAATTATCTTCCAAAAGTCAAGCTTGTTCTATTAAATATTTCCTGCCATCAGAAAATACAACAGTAGCTCAGTTATTATAAAGTTAAAGTTGGACAAAGGTTGGGCAGGCCTTAGCCAAATACAGTCCTCATTGGTTTTACATAAACTTTATTAGTTTTAAAGTAAACAGATCAGATCCCTTATCCTGTGTTTTATTTTTAATAGGGTGAATGATTTTAGATACATTTAGCCACAGAAACCATAACATTCACTAGTTAATTAAAAAGCAAGGAGTTATTGAGTTTGGAACACAAAATGACCATGTTAATATGGGGGGATAGTGGTGGCTGGTGAGCCCCAAAATAAAAACATGAAATGTTTTTATGGAGTTTAATCCAAAGATTGGCTTCCCTGCTCTTCCTTTGTGCTGCCACTATCCAGAAGCTCATTCAGAAAGGATTTTTCCCCCTCGGACCGAGAATTTATGTTGCAGTTGTGTGGAGAGTTTGTATATGACAGCATCTGATAACTCCTCTGAATTGAAAGTGGGGGGTTTAACGACTTATATGCAAAGTGGCAGATCTCTGAGGGAACTCTGCTGGAAATTATTTATGCACTGCTGAAACAGCGGATATCAGCTGGTACTATCAGAGTAGGAAAGCAGCTAAAAGACTGATCAGAGTGGGGAACTGATTTTTGATCAATTTCAACAAACGGCAAATCTTGACGATGCAACTTGGAATCAGCGCCAAAATGTTGCTCACACCGCGCTTTTGAGACCATTAGAGGAAATGACAACCATTCATTACAAGCCATTTGAGAATAGTCACCACAAATGCCATCCTTTATCTTCTGTCTCCACGCCACGCACACAGGGAATATTCAAAAAGCCCAACCTTCAGCTTTCTGAAATTCTATTAAATTCTTATCTCTTTGCAGCAGGCTCTTTTTGTGCAATCCCATTGTTATGCATTGGAGCTGAAATCAATCATCGGGCCGTGCACGCCGCCATCAGTATGATTTCAGACTGTGGCTGCAGAGAGAGGGGAGAAAGGATTCACAACTGCAGCAACAACAGCGTCAACAATCAAATAAACAAAGGGGGGCGGGTGGGGGGTCCCTGGCACAGAGGAAAGTAGGAAGTTAGGTCCCAGGCAGGTTAGTTTGTGAAGTTTGAAATAGGAGAGGAGATAGAAAAAGAAACTGAGAAATACACTAACTGCTCCTGCAGTGTGAGCAGATTTCAGGACTGTGGACAGCTCCAACAAAGCAGGCTGAGGTGAGCATCTGACTTCAGAACCTTGGAGAGCTCCAGAGCTCCGTGGAGGAAACAAAGAGCTTTTGTTTGGGACCTGCTTCAACCAGCTGAGGACAATCAGCTTTAGGAATCTTTAGATAAAATGAACCACAGACTAAATTTAAACTAAAAACACAGAAAAGTTAACTAAACAGCAAGATAATATAAAGTTTTATTGGGATGAAATGTTTTTATTGTATGTGTGCTAACCTACAGTAAACAACAAAAAATGACCTGTAAAGTTGTTTGATCCTAAAACATTTAAATATTGTCCTGCTTTTTAAAACTCATTTTAAGTATTTTTTAAGACTAGATGTCTATCTTTCCAACTGAATTATTTTTCCATCCTATAAATTGAAATAAACTAAAGTTCTTATAAGCCTAAGAGTTAATAAATGTGTTTAATCATGTCTGTTTTTTTGAAACTAAAATAAAGCTAAAAAAAAAAACATCTAAGGCTTTTATTAATCCAAAAGTTTGTACATTAAAATCAAAGAAACTGAAATCCGCTCAGTTTGCTTCCTGAACTAAAAGGGGAACAGACGAGTTTCTGAGATCAGAACCGAAGCTGAATAATTAAAGGCAGCTTTCTTTGGGGGGGATCAGGCTGCAGCCAAACATCAGCTGGGAAAACTTTTCCTCTGTTGTTCTGAAGTTGTGGATGCAGATGGCACCAAGGCCTCCCAGCTCTTATGGATATATTGTGTGAGGCTGAGCAGCCAGTATAAATATTACATGGGGGCAGCAGCTGACTGGGCGCTGAGGTTGGGACCGGGGGAGGCCCCTATAGTCCCTCGACAGATGGAACAAGCCGAAAGACTAATACAACAAAAAAAAGTTTTTTAATAAGCCCGCAGCCTGGCATTGTCCCTGCGGTACCGGGGCCACACGGTCCCCTAGGGAACCAACTGTCTTTTGTCTAGACTCCCTTTTCTTTCTTTTTAGTTTTTCCCCACAAAAAAGACTCAAAACTCAGTTTTTATTTTACTTTTAAAGTTTAAATCAATCGGTTAGCAAACTTTGAACAGATCAGACCGGTAAAGGTTGATTCTAATCCTGCTGTTTAATCTTCTCCACCACAACTTTAAGGGATTCCACAAAATAAGAAGAATACGCTGAGTTTTCATTATGTGTTAATTAAAAACACACAATGATGATGCTGACTTTTTATTTGCGCAGATACCGGAACACAAAGTTAATCTGTAAAAGTTGCGCAAAATGCGCTGAAAAGGAGAGCTACGAACCCAGAAAAGTGCGGCACAGCTTCATGTTTGCGCTCTTCTTCCTCCTCTGCGTGTCTCTTCTGTCCCGCAGACACCGAGTCCCGCAGGCGACTTTAACTTCTGAGTGACAGAACTTTGGAGAACTTTAGCCCAAGTCCCGGAGTTCAGCAGGTCCACGGGGGGCGGAGCCAGCCACGCGATTGACACTGACCGACAGCCAATAGGAAGGGCAGCTGGAGCCCCGCGTGTCAGCTTTCAACAACAATAACCGAGGTTTGCAACAAAGAGCATCTGCTTCAGACAGAACTTCTCCCACTCAGCCTGAGCTGGAAGCTGCCCTGAAGCCTGAACTTCATCCCTTTCTCCTCATCTGAAGAGTCAAAGATCCTAAACATGATACTAGCCCATCATCATCATCATCATCATCATCATCATGTCTGCTGCTGTTGGACCTGAGCAGGTTCTGGACACAGGCAGCAGATGTGCGCCTCAAACTTACAGGAACATTTCAGTGCAAGTGCAGGCCTATTCAGAGGGTCTGTGTCTGGGCCGGACAGACAGGTCCTCCCTCCCCATAGCAGACGGTCTGCCAGATAATGAGCTCTCCCATTGCTTGCTCCCATTATCCATCCCCCTCCCCCCCAAGAACACTCATTTTTCCGAGATGAAATAAAGGAGGTTAGAGGAGCCTCAACACTCTTCATTTTATCATAAAAATGTAGCTCATCTTTCTTCCTGTTGGTTTAGCATCAGCCCGTTATCAGTAAATGTTTCTTCTTTTGACGAAAACAAATTAAAAGATTAAACTAATCTCAGATTAAATCAGATAAAAGTTTGCCTATTATATAAAAACACAAAAAAAATCAGAATAAAAACTATGTGAAAAACTTTTATTGATTTTATGTAAAACTTTAACCCATAACACTTTTAAAAGTAGGCTATTATTAGCTACATGATAAGATAAAAAAAATACACCAAATAGAACAACAATAAAATAGAGATCAATAAAAAAACGAAGTATAGATTCTGCAGAATATGTTTCAATCTGTGACACAACAAAGACAGAAAATGAATATTTACTAAGGAACTGGAATGGGAGTGATGAAAATCTGCAGAGTAACAGAATTTTTATGAAACAATTCAGATTTCTACCTAATTCTGAATTAGAGACCAAAAAAAAAAAATGAAAACGCTTTAAGAATCTTAAAAACTAGAAGCAAGACGTTTGAGTTAAGAAAAACTGGCCTCCAGTCTGTAAATCGGGAATCTTTAGACCATCTCAATATGTGACAAAGAAAAAATGCAGGAAACGGAACATGTCGACCATCACAGACCAGTGATGCATTTCTCAGGTAGCGTCGCGTCCAAAGAGGTTTACCATTCTGCTCAACTGCTAGAAGTATTTATGTCGGCTCGATTGTTTTCATTAAACAGAGCAGCCATTCCTTTTAAAGTTCAACATCTCACCAAAAATCGAATTTTCTGTCTTTTAAACTGTGGCTGTACCGTATTTAGATTGAAGAAAGCAGCTGCTGGTAACAAAGATCCAGTCTGGTGTATTTTGTCCCAAATCTTCCTCATCCCAGCCTTCAGCAGCATCTCATGGTCAAATGATTATGGATGATTTCAGGTTAGTTCTTTAACAGAATAAGATTTATCTGCTTATGATCAGATGCTGTGTGGAAATGCTGCCAATGCAGAAAAACTCAAGAAAGTCTAAAGTGTAAGGCCCTCTGAACCTTGGAGCCAATATTCAAAGCAGAAAGATCTGGACAGTTTTTAATCAGCCTTTATTTAATACGATACAACATGTGGCTGCTCGTCAGCTGGGGCGGATTAACCGGATCCTCTGCAGGGATAGAAACTCAGGTCAGTGACTAGTATAACGGGCTGATCACGACTATGAGCAAAAGTCTCTGACCTGGTTCTGAGTTCTGTCCGATCCCAGAGGAAGGAGATGAATCAGGGAGGAGATTGTCCACCGTTTGAGGCGGGTGCCACTCCCAAAGTTCAGAGCAGAACAAGGAGTCCAGGAGCAACAGTGTCCATGAGGGAATATCCAGAGCCGAAGTCGAATCAGAATCAGATTTATAGACCAGACGATCAGAGAGCCGAGGAGGTACCGGAGGAGCCGAGTTAGAAGCACAGTCCAAGTTTGGATAACCAGCAGGAATAAGTCCAGAATAAACAATACGGGCAGAGCAGACAGAGGAAAAGCTAAACTATCCAAAGGCAGACACAGATCAGAATCTAGAGTTGCTCTCTCCAAACAGATCGAATAATCTGGCACAGATGGAAGGCAAACAGGCAGCATAAGCAGCAGCAGGAACCAGGTGGTAACAACAAGCGTTAATGAGGCGCCAGGCCAATTAGATGGGTGACAAGAATAAATGATAAGGTCAACCATCAGCGCCAAGGTCATGACATACAGATGTGTTGATAAGAAACACTTTAAATGATTTTAGAAGAATCGCCTGTTTAAAGAAGTGATATGAGGAGAATGTTAGAAAGGGAGGAAAGGCCTTCAGATATTCAGCTCCAATGATCAGGAGCCGCTCTGTCTTCTCATTGGTCAAAACCATTGCTTCATGAAGCTGAAGAAAAGCAGATCAAACCAAAACCAGGACAAGTTAAACTCACCAGTCTGAGCTTTTCTTCCACACCTTCACTGGGTTTATATCCTGCTGTTTTCTAGTCTGCGTAATCAAACCATTTAAAGACTCTTGATATATTCTGCAAAGATTGCAAACAGCAACAAAGCTTGAGGTTACAGGCTGACCTGCTTTCAGGCTTCCTTACATTTGATCTTTGTTCCAGCATCAAACCTCTCTGCACTTTATGGAGATTTTATGTGACAGGAGTTTTAAAAGGGAGCATAAATAAATTATATTGTATTTATTCTAGGCAGAATCCCGAATGTTTGCCTGTTTTTCAGTGTTTAGTTCTGTTTTTCTTCTGTAGCTATAGACTCAGCTTCTACTGGGACTAACTGGAACTTCTCTCTTTCATCATCTGACTAAAACTGGCTCAGAGCTCATCTGAATAACTCTTTCTTTGCCAGACAGAGCCACGAGTGGAGCTAGTTTAGCGTTAGCTTTTCTAACATAGAAAGTGTTTATAGATCAGTGCTTTATGTTCTATTTCTATGACTGCTTCTGTCTCCTTGAACCCCAGTGGGCCTCAGCAGATGGCGGCTCACACTGAGCCTGGTTCTGCTGGAGGTTTCTTCCTGTTCAAAGGGAGTTTTTCCTCTCCACTGTCGCTACAAGCATGCTTAGTGTGAGGGATTGCTGAAGAGTCAATGAGTCGATGCAAGCTAATATCTATTGTCTCTACATGCTCATCAAGGAGAAGAAAATAGAAAAGCTTTAATAAAAGTTTAATAACCTGTTAGAATATCCTGGAACATCCAGAGCTACGTCCAATTAGAGCTGATGGATCGAAAACAGATCTTCCCAGATGTTTCCCATCCAACATGTCTCTGCCTGAGCTATCTAGAAGCTAAACTGGATGAAGATTTAATCCTTAAGATGAATAAAGCTGATGGAGACAGAGGAACTGATTTTCAGCTGGAACTGGAACCAAAAAAAAAAAAAAACATTTTTGTTTGCAGAATACGAGTCTGTCTGTCAGAATAAATAGACTTTTCATTGACTATAATGTGACCAAATATGAAAAAGTTTGGTGTTAAAAATCAGTTTATGATTTTCAGCTAAGATGTAGGTTATTTACTCCATTAATTATAAATATGCTTCAAATTGTATACCATTTCTTGGAAGCATTAAGTCCTTTTTTCCATCATATTTTAGGACCATTAAAGTCTCTTCTAGAAACAAAGTTCTGGATCTGAAGTGAGCTGCAAACCGGCCTTCTTTGAGTCAGTCGCTTCAGTTTCTCCATTATTCCAGTTCTCCACAGCGAACAGTCAAAGCAACACTGGGGAGCATTTTAACAAGCTCTGCTGCTCCTGATTCAAACCCAGGTCCCCGTTTCAAAGCTGTGCTACAGGCACGGGCGGATTTAGGAAATTTGGGGGCAAAGACAGGCAGGGGGCCCTCTGAATGGAGAAGAACACATGAAACAGCCCCATTCTCCAGATAGAGAAATGTTAATAGAATAGACATCCATTATCTGTTCTAGGTTGTGTCCCTCTCTTCTTGTCCCTTTTCTTCTTGTTTTCCTCTCTATGTTTTGTACTCAGCTGACTTTTCATGCTGTCTCTAAAGGAATGAAAGATTTTTTCCAAGCACTAAGCTCACTTAGCTGATTGCTCCTTCCTGTGTTTCCAAAAAGGCCAAAGTAAATAACCCAGTCCTTCTTTTCACTGTAGACAAGCCATGATCTGCTTCTCTGTTCTCCATTTTTCATTTGGATGAAATAATAGCTGCATGAATCATGACAGCAGACAAGATAGAGGAGAGCAGGAGGCGGGGTTACCAATCTACTCGCTCTGGAGAGCAGAGTTCGCTGCTTTTAGATGTTGTCTCCAAAGTCTCCAGTAGCAGAAAAAAGTCTCTAGATTTGGCGCTAGGAGCTTTTTAGAAATCAAAGTGCTAGAGGGGTCTGAAAAGTGGCTAAATATAGCGACTAAAGCGCTAAGTTGGCAACACTGCTCTTTGCATGGTTTGTTTTCTAAAGGTTTGCTGCTGTCTGTTTGGACCTTTCTGAACATAGCCAAAAGGTTAAAGTCATTACATGATGTTTTATTCAACTATAAAAGTGGAATCACTGAAAAGAGAGAATCACTTGAATCAAGGTTGAACACTAAGATGAAGGCAAGCATGGAGGATCAGAGAAGTGTTTCCTATGAAACTGCAGGAACACGTGTTTGAAGGTGGACCGGAGCAGATGTTAGACAGGAGGCTGACCTAAATATCACACAGAGTCTCTGCAAAGACCTAAAATGAGATTTTCTCTTTCACTGAGATCCTCAGAACATGTTTCTTCATTTTCCCCTGAACTGGTTTAATAATGGGCCGAAAAAACACCCACTGACATGTAGTAAAGCGAAGTGATAACTCTGACCAGTTTGCAGAATTAAGGTTTTATCTTAGCGTCACTGCAGCACTTCCTCACCGCTTCAGCCTCCAGCTGAGGACAGCTGAGTTTAAAAAAAGCAAAGTGAAGAGCAGAATGGGATCCTGTTCTGGCTTTAGTCCTCAGACACATGGAACAAACAG